GGCAAAGTAGACTAAAAAGGCAGGGAATTACCGATTTATTCTATTACCGGAAGCATAATGGCGACACATGTACCTGTTTGTTCTTTATTTATGTTTTGTGTGTTATATTTGTTGCTTTCAGTCCCCTATGCCCGGACAAAGTTGGGTTAAAAAGCTTTTGTTTACTCTGCTCTTTATGCCTGGAATATGCTACTACACCCCCTTTAAACAATGCAGTGCACAAACAAGTTCTTGTTCTAATTAAAATCGTAATGATTGCTAATTATTATTTTTACACCAGTACTAATGAGCAGCAGGCTGGTCATCAGGACGATCTTCACTGCATGAGATGGGCGTTGGATAGCTGGAAAAAGGTGCCTGTTCTCGACACTCTTGCCCCATCTTTTGCTGCATTTCTATAACGTGAAAAGAACTGGGGGGGGGGGGTTTTTTTTTTTTAACAGCTCATATCAAGCTCAGTGATCTACAGTACTTGTGGTGAAATGACATATGTGTAACATGTGTTTCAGTTTGTCCAGAGACAGAAATTTCAGCGATGTCATGAAAAAGAAATTGCCAAGCACAGCTTTGTGGCCTGGAAGGTAGAGGCAACACACAAATAATAACAACAGAATGAATCGGTTTCAGCGCCAAAGGCACTTTATAGACACTGAGAGCAAATGGAAGAACTATATGCACATTATGCTCTTAGAACGATAATCATGCACCCTTTTAAATCTACACTGCCAAAGACCGACTCATTTAACAGTATATTTATATCAGTGCAATTGTACACCTTCCACAGTGAATACAGTATATTCTTAAATTAGCAGTGAGTATGAGTATATTTGCAAAGGGTAGATTTTTAATACAGCTTTTATATTAGATCTAGATTGAGTGTACTGGTGTACCTAATGTTGTGTCTGTTATGTATGACCCAAACGTTACTTTTTTTTTTTTTTTTTTTAATTTTTTTTTTTAAACTCTGCCAACAGCTCCAGTACAGACTCGAAATGTCAGAGCCGACTGAGCGAGCACTCTGGCATTGGGCCCTTACACTTCAAGCCAAGGTATCACCTCCCTGCTTCATCCCTTCTTGTACTAAACGTGAGTGCAGGATGCAGGACAGTTGTCTTAATGTGGTGTTTGGGAACTTCCCGCAGGCACTGTACGGGTGGAGGTTGTGGGTCACAGAAAAGCGCAGGAAGAAGGTGGAGGCGTTGAAACCTGCTCAGGTGAACAAAGCCAAGCCCTCGATTTGCTTCAAGAGAGGTGCACTATACTAAGACTCTTGATTGGCCTACTATGCCCAAAACCAGACATGGAGAGAAGAAACAAAGTGTGCAATGTCTGACCACCATCAGAAGAGAAAAGCATTCAACAGGGCTGAAAGTTCTTTCAATCCAGGCAAGAATAAAGCACACACGGAAAAAGAAATGAGGATGTGTCCATTTGGATGCATTTGTTACAACAAAAAGGGTCATTTCGGTGGCACCATAACAAAGATTGAGTCAAACCTGGTGATGACGGAAACTTAAAATACAGCATTTAAAAAGAATAATTTCACTTTATCAAAGGTAATGCAACAAGAAGGTGCATTTGTGACACCTCTTATACTGTTTGTTGGTCTATCACTAGGGGAGTTGCTGCAGAGGGAACGAGTAGGCACAGAAAAAGCCCGGAAGCATTACGACTCCAATTTGCTGAGTAAAGCGTTGAGAGCATGGAAAAAGCATCATCATACATGCCTCAAATATAAGGTAACTTTCCCAGCGACTTGCACCCATTGGAGTAATCAATACCGCATGACAATATGGTGACGTCGCAGGTGATGAAACGACAAGGAATCTTGTTGCTGAGACTGAAGATGTACCAGACCTACTTTGTACTCTGGAGGAGGAAGGTAACGGACTAATTTTAACTGAATAAATGTTTAACAGTCTTGTGGTACTATTGTACACAACAAATTGATGGATTCCTACTTTTGAAATCACTCAAGTCAAGTAAACAATCTAACAAATTGATTGCAAAATTTATTACACGTGACAATTTGACATCTTGGTACAGATTTGAGCAATGATCATGGAAGGTGACACACAATTTGCTTTTGAGGGCCAAATAAAATGCCGTCGCAGGCCAAATCTGGCCCCCGAGCCTTGAGTTTGACACTTGTGACCTAAAAAACCAAACGTGGTTCTTAAACACACGTTTGCCCACCGTTGACTTATTTGCAACGCAGTTGTACAAACACTGTCACCCAAGATCACGATTGGAAGCCTATCATTCAGCCAATATCTCTCTGGCAGTGTCGACCCAGGCTTGTCCTTTTTACCAGTGCAAATAAGGTTACGGTATTGCTGTTGGTTCGGCAACATTTTTCATACAGCACTTGTTGGCACATAAATTATACTGTGCAAGTGTACCTAAACCTGTGTGTGTGCGTGTGTGCGCGTGTGTACATAGTTCCTGTTGAAAGTCAAGGTGTCCGTGCAGACAGAGCAGGCCCTCTGGCATTGGGCCCTCACTCTTCAAGCCAAGGTACCACCCGTCTTCTTCTTGCTTTAAAACTTCATCCGTTCGAGTGTGGGTTTTTTTTTTTTTTTTTTTGGAAAACTGCTGCAGGTGCTGTATGCATGGAGGCTGTGGGTCACAGCGCAGCGCCAAAAGAAGACAGAAGCGTGGGAAGCTGCTCAAGTGGACAAAGATGAGTCACAAAGTGCGGTTGCGACGTACAGTAAACACATGAATAGCATCTGGGGATTGGCTGAGCCTGGAATGCAGAGAGATGAAGAACGAGTGCGTTTATGTTCATATTTGCTTTTTTTCAACTAAATGTGCCCCTTTCAACCAGTCTGCTTCTTTTCTGTAGCAAAGTCTCTGTATTCAGAGGATGGTGAAGTGTTGTGCCATGAAGTGGAAGCAGCGGGCTCTCTGCAAACCACCAAAAACCACAGTGACCTTCCCTTGTCCAGATTTGAAATCTGGGAAATGTGACACAGATGACAGTGAGCTGTGAGTGCATAGCAGCCCTTAAATGGTTCCATTTATTTTTTTTTAAACAAATGTATGCATTTTGCCTTTTCCGCTCAAGAATGCATCCTTTAGTACGACGCCAGCCTCGACGCTGCGAGGAACTGTTTGCGCCCTCACTGAAAGCATTACCGTATGATGGGTATGACATACTTCTTTCAGATTTTATTTTTTTTCATCAGATGTTTCATATTTTGAATTGTAAATAATTTAGGCAAGTTTAGCTATACAGTACGTGTATGTAGAACTCAGCAGTAATCTACACAAATACAATATATCAGTGTGAGCTACATCATCTGGAGCATTGATCATATTTATCTAATTACAAAACCGAAAAATAAATAAATAAATAGAATAAGATCATCATACTCAAGATCCTGAAAAGAGCTTGATCCATGTAATTATTTACGAAGCATCCAGGCAGTAAATGCTTTTGGGTCTTTTGTTCAGCTGCCAAACATCTGCTGGAGTAGACGCACAACTTGGGCAGCGCATTTCTTCATCAGAGACAGATCTTGCGCTGTCATCCTCATCCACCCATCATCCTTCCTTCCCTTTCAACACCGCGTGTCTAAGCGGAGACGTGCGCCATGGCTCGCCCCAGAAATCTCCAGCTTCCATCCTGGACCCGCCTCAGACACTGCGTGAGCTGCTCTTGCCACCCGCCGCTTTCATGAGCACAGAAAACAAGGTAATAATCGTCATTTAGACTTTGATGCGTGAATTCATCACCAAGTCATCCGCCTTCTATTTGTTGTTCATGTCCAAGACGGGACGTGCCAACATCTGCGGCCCAATAGCAGAACGGAGTTTAGAACATTTTTCAACACCTTCAGGTACATGGAAAGTGACTTTCCACTCTCTGGCTTATATAAATTAAAAAATATATATATTGTGGCTTCTCTTCAAGACATCCACTCAAGAGAATCGAATGGAGAGTCGGCAAATGATGCAACTTCATCGCTAATGAAGGAGCTCATGAGCATCCAGCAGGACATGAATAGCTTCCAGCAGGACAGGAAGCAGCTCAGGTCAGCACACAAGAACATCATTTGTCATGCTTTTCTATTTTCATGTACTTCGTTGTTTACTGGAGGCTTTTTGGCCGCTCAGGCTCTGGCAGAGAATGAAAGACGTTTTGCAGAGTTGGCTACAGACTAGTGGAAAAGATCAGGAAATGGATAACAATGCGGTTTGTCAAGAGGTTAAGGAGGTAAGGGAAGACTTGTTGGTTATTCCACACTCAATTACCCAACGTTCCCTCTCACTTTACGATTTGCGTGTTGACAGCTGGAGGAGCGCATCGAGAAATTGTCCTGTGACCTGGGAACACGAAGGCTGACAATGCGATTTCATGCAGAAAGGCTCCAACATTTACAAGCCGTCCTCGACCGCTCAGGATTTTCTTCTCTTTATCGGCAGGTGCAGATGTAAACGTAACACTTTACACAATGACTGGAAGCCGTTTAGTCTCCTCAAGCCATCCTTCTGCAATTAACATTACATCAATTCAGTATATTCGATTTCTCGCACAATGTACTGCATACATCGGATTTTTTTGTGGGGGGTCACGTACGTAGTCTAGGAATCTCAGGGATTTTATTATTTCAATGTCCGGCTGTAGATTTTGTAGACTGAGTGCACTGGAATATAAAGTTCAACATCTACTGGACATCTTTAACATGAACAAAGTTAAATTCCAACATGTATTTTTGGAGTATCAATAAATAAAAAAAAAAGAACCAAAAATGTCTCTTAGATATTTCAGATAGGTTTCTTTCCCATTGTGATTGACATGGATTTGCTAAAAATGTCATCTTTTTGTCTTCCGGTGAATAAAAGCAAGCACAGCAGCCATCTTCTGTGTGTGTGACTTCTGTTGCAGGATTCCATTTTATATCTTAAACTCAATAAATCCCCAAATTAGTTTTCTTTCAGACACAAACATATTTCACCAGTCAACAAAATTATCATTACCGTCAGTTGATTTCTTTTTTTTTTTCTTCCTTAACCTCTTAGGAACTTCACAGTGCTCTCAACTTTATCTCGGACGTGTTAAATGAAAACATGTTATTGTGAAACAAAATTACATATCATGCTGCTTTAAATGCCATGTGCGTGAGGTTTTGATTGCGTATTAGAATTTAACTCACACTGCGAAATTGGTAATGCAGCATTCTTTTCATTCATAACAACTTTAGGAGAATGAGGCACATTAAAATCAAATGATTTCACGGAATTCCCACAAAGCTTGAAGTGGGTGTTGTCTGGTTTCCCACTGTTGCTAAATGTTTCCACTTGTGTGAGAAAAACCCTTTCAGGATTTACTGTGCGGCTGATGTTGCCCAGTTGTGTTTCTGTTTTCTCTGTTACACCCTGTGCCTTTTGTACCTCGAATGCTTTGGGTATGCAATGCAGGAATCTCAAGTTCTTTTTGTTTAGGAAGACGTAAACAGTCCTGTGCACAGCAGCCTGACCATAGGACACAATGAGAGGGATTTATGTCGTCTTGCTGTGTTTCTTTTTTTTCTGCTGTGCCTCAAGTAAGTGTTGAAGTGTTGTCAATATTTTTTTTCCAACTACTGCTAACATGGATATTATTGTGGGATGGGTGGTTTGACTGCAATGTTCAACGTCTGGTTTATTTCCTGGCTGCATCATTGAATAGTTTGGAGCCATCGAGGTGTCACGAAAACTGATCACAACAGTCAACATCTGACTTTGATTCCTTTTGACTCAAAAGTCTTCCTTGCGTATCAGCTAAGAAGATGCGCTGGTGCACAGTGTCCCATCCTGAACAGAGGAAGTGTGCGGAGTTGGCTAAAGCCTTGGTGGTTGTGCTGCCTCCAGCCTCTGTCAACGCTTTTGGCAGACTTTCTTGCATCCATGCATCCAGCGTGACCGACTGCATCAACAGAGTTACGGTGAGCCACCCCACCCCCGCTACCAGACCATGGAAACATTGTAAAGTTGGATCTGTTTTAAAAGAATTCAAACGTATATGTAAGTAATTTACTGGAGTTGTACAGCTGAGCCACTTAAAGTCAACCACGTTCTGTTTTAAATTCAAATCAAACAATTTGTGTGTTCAGGCCAACCGTGCAGACTTAGTGACTCTGGACGCAGGAGATGTTTACTCCGCGCTAAAGGAATTTGACCTCACAGCTGTCGCCAAAGAGATATACAGCGATGGTAATTTTATGCTACTTTTTGGGACATTTCCTCATCGTGCAACCATTTGGTCCGGTTTTGATGTCTTGTGGCTCGCAGGAAGCTGTGTTTTGTCTGTGGCAGTGGTGAGAAACAGCAGCTTGGCCATGAGGTCCCTGAGCGGTCTCAGGAGCTGTCACAGTGGGTTCCGATGGACGGCCGGGTGGAGTCTTCCACTTGGGTTCCTGCTGTCCCGCAACTACCTGAGCTGGTCAAAGGAAAGGCCACTAACACAGGGTGATGAAAAAGATTCAAATCTGGCGTCGCCAACCCTTGTGACGGCGGGAGAGAGAGCTCCTTGAAGCATAATCACAGATGTGCAGGCCCTCACTTAGGGTTCTTAGTTCCCCTGTAACTTAAGGCAATTTGGACACTTTTGTGCCTACAACTGGGGATGAGCTGTTAACTCATGCTTTGACTTTTTTTTTTTCCCCCCCAAACGGGCAGAGGTAAGCAGTTTTTTCAATGCCAGCTGTGTTCCCGGATCTGCGGCCATGGCGCCACATCTGTGCGCTTTGTGCCAAGGCCAAAAGTCCTACATACGCCAAAAGAACGATCACTGTGAGATGTCTCACAGCGAACCCTTCTACAACAGCCACGGTGCCCTCAGGTCACAATCTTTTAAGATCAGTTCTTTGACTTTGGGCATGGATGGAGGGATGTCGAGAGAGAGACAGATGTGTGTGACACTCCTTTTTTTTCTGTGCCACAGATGTCTCAGCAGCGGTGCAGGGGATGTTGCATTTGTGGACCATTTAGCACTTGAAACTATTGAAAGTAAGTGTTGATTAAGTAATACTTTCTCAACATAAGCTTCCTGGTAATCCGTTTCTTCCGTCAGACAGTGAGAGGGACAATTTGAGATTACTGTGCACAGATGGCACACAAGCTCCACTCAGCCACTACAACGCATGCCATCTGGGCCGCGGTCCAGGAGCGGCCGTGGTCACCCGAATGAGCGTTCGCAAGGTGGCCCGCAAATTTCTGCATACACTGCAGGTACAATATGTTTTTGGAGTCTACAATGAGCCTTACTTGCATGTTTTTTAAATGCGGTAGGAGAGACCCGGAGCCTAAATTGCGTGGTCTATAGCAGAAGCCTACATACTACTTTTAACAGTATACAAAACTCTCCTTGTCAATATGAAAAAAGTCTTAATCGTTGTGAAATGGAATCAGACGGGTTTTTTTTACACCAACACTATTTTGTAATCCCTTACTTAGATGCTGTTTGGTCATAAAGGACGAGAGAGGCATCGCTTCCAACTCTTCAACTCATCCCCTTTTGGGGAAAGGGATCTTCTTTTCAAAGACGCCACAGCCGAACTTGCTGCTCTGCCAGATGGCGCGGACGTCAATCAGGTGTTAGGACTGGGTTATATTGCGCTGCTCAAAAGTCTTGGACATGAAGGTGCTTATGGGTGTTGTGTTTCCATGTTGACTATCCGTGTAACTTGACTGACCCTATGTGTGTTTGTGGGCAGGAAGCACACTGGAGGACAGTGTTGTGCGGTGGTGTTGCATCAGCCACAAAGAGCAGATCAAATGTGAGCAATGGGCTCTGAGTATACAGTCAGACCCGCTGGTGTGTGTTAGAGCGGCCTCCATGCGCCACTGTGTGGAGAAAATTAAGGTCAGTAAAGCAGTTTGAAAAACGAATGAATGAATAAGGTTAGGGGCGGGCCAGTGGTTAGTGCGTCGACCTCACAGTGCAGCGGTACCCGGGTTCAATTCCAGCTCCGGCCTCCCTGTGTGGAGTTTGCATGTTCTCCCTGGGCCTGCGTGGGTTTTCTCCGGGTACTCCGGTTTTCTCCCACAATCCCAAAATATGCATGGCAGGCTGATTGAACACTCTAAATTGTCCCAAGGTGTGAGTGTGCGCTTGTTTGTCTTGTCTGCCCCGCGATTGGCTGGCAACTGGTTCAGAGTGTCCCCCGCCTACTGCCCGAAGACAGCTGGGATAGGCTCCAGCACCCCCCGCGACCCTTGTGAGGAGAAGCGGATCAGAAAATGGATGGATGGATGGATGAATAAGGTTCATGTGATAGCATACAAGGTGTGTCAAAAACATTCCGGGGCACCAAAGAAACTGGATAACCTTTGATTTGGGTTGGTCCAATGTTGGCACTGCTTATTTTACTTTTGGTCGGGGTCTCCAGTCCTTTTTGGATTTTTTTTTGTTTGTTTGAACTTATTTTTGATTGGGCAAAATAAAACTGTGTCATCTTACTTCACTCCTTTTGTCTCCGGCATCCTTTATATGTTGCTGTCTCTTAATGAGCCAAAGAGGCCGTAACAACCATAAAGAGCTATCCCGTAATTAACTATTTACAGAAATGTGAGCGGTGTACCATACTCACTATTGGACGAAACTCTGAGGGAAATTTTGTGTGATTGTAATAAGTCATTTTATTACATACCGGTACATTTTTGTGCATACAAATGTCACGTTCATCCTCAGTTTCTTACTAAAGTTCTCTCAAAGGCACTTTTAAAATATAAGCCTGTTTAAAAATGTTACACATGAAATGTAAGCATGTTTCAAAATATTTTTGAACATTTTCTTTACTGCTTCTACAAGAGTTGGTCGTGACTTGCACGCAATAGAAAAATGCAGATCCAAGGGTGACAACAGTGAACCACAGGCTTATTTTGATCTCTTCCTTTGATAGGCAAATTCCACTCAATGTTTTCTACTTTTGTGTACAGAGGGATGAAGTGGATGCTGTCTCTCTCGATGCAACCCATGTCTTCATTGCAGGAAAATGTGGCCTCGTCCCAGTAGTAACTGAATATTATGCTGAAGGTACATTGATTGATATTTCCATGTCCCTCTAATTATATACTACAAAAGCATGCTTTTCATTTACATAGTGTCATAGAAATGTGTTCCCTCTGACGCTTTCACACGTCAGAATGATTGGGTGTTTTCTCTCGCTAAAGAATGTGTGGCACCTGAGGTATCGACCGAGGGAAACGTACACGGTAAGACCAATAGTCTGAGCGACTTGAAGCAGACTGGTCATAGACAATCATGCGTATGTCTGTGCTCAGTGTTGCCCTCAATTGTGGGGGTGGCAGTATCAAAGCGGTCCAGCAGGAGCATCGCCATGGGCAACCTTGCAGGTCGTCGTTCCTGTCACGGTCACATGTACAGCCCCGCAGGGTGGCTGTTGCCGCACGCGCACACACTCAGCCGGGAGCTCAACAGCAGCAGCGCAACTTGTGATCCAAACCAAGGTGCTGTCTAATTCGATAGCTGATTTGCTCACTCACTGCCACGGGAACTTCTTTAATCTTACGATGTTTGGACTTTCAACTCTGCCCTTTCCGCTTGGGCAGTGTACAGCGATGTGTTTTGGAAAGGATGTCTTCCTGGCTCGGAGGGGAATCTGTGTAAAGTGTGTCTGGGAGGCACAGGGGAGGCTACCACCAAACGCTGCACTGATAACCACAATGAGCGTTACTATGGTAACATGGGAGCTTTGAGGTATGTTCTTCTCTCTTGTGACAAATATTCCGTGCTTTTCATTCTCATGAGTTTTTAATGAATTCCACATGAGTTCGGGGAAGAAAATGGAGCTATGGTCACAACGCTTGTCGTGTGCAACTTTCTATGGGAATTTACAGGAGTTACCTGGAAACGTTTGTGCAACTTTAATTAACTAATTGACTGTTTCCTGCTCATAGGTGTCTGGTCGGGGATCCCGGTGGCAAAAATTACGGTGACATCGCCTTCCTTGAGCAGCACAACCTGAAAGACAATATTCTCAGTAAGTCACCACCATGTACTTAGTTACTTCAGACATCAGCTCTACTCTGGTCTTTTCATCTGGCATTTCCTACGTCAGGTTTGGCTTCCTCAGGTTGGGCAGAAGGGTGGGCGTCATCAGACTTCGAGCTGCTGTGCGGTGACGGCCGTCGGGCCCCATTGTCTGAGTGGGAGGGCTGTAATCTTGGAGTCATTCCGCCTAACACAGTCATGACTCGGCCGGTGCTCACGGGGAGAGTTCACGACTTCCTCATGAAGTCTCAAGTGAGCATGCAGTCACCGATTTTCTTTTTGTTGTTGTTTTCTAATGCCCTGTCAAGGTAAATAAAATACAAGATTACTGAGATACATACACAGCCTCAACATTAGGAACACCTGCACAAGTGCTGTATAAATCTGCATTTATGAAGTTTTTTTCCAGAAAACATGAAAACCTGAACCAAATACAGTACCTAGATTTAATAATTTCATTTCAGGGGGAGAATCGAAACATCTGTTCAGGGTTGGAGCCGATTTTAGCAGAGGCGGACATGATCATGATAACACTGCTTTTTTTTTTTTCGGTGAAAATATTATTTAGGCCATTATTTTAACAAGGGGGTGATATATTGAGAGCTGTGTTAAATATATTCAAATTAACACTTTTTTTAAAACCTCCAGGAAATGCTGGGGGGCAATGCAAGCTCTCAGTTTAAGCTCTTTGAGTCTCAGCACTATGGCGAAAGTGATCTGCTGTTCAAAGATGCGACACGGTGTTTTGTCCGCACCAGCCACATGGATTGCCGCGCCATCCTGGGTGAGGAGTTTTACAACCGCGTGGAAGCTGCTTTCAACTGCACCCAATCTGGTACAGTAAAACACGTATTTAATATCAAATATAATGCATGAACTATGAACTCGACTGAATGTTAATACTAGCACATGCATTTATTTTCTTTACAGCAGACATCTTGCAGTTCTGCAGTCAGGACATGTGCAGTCCAGTCTAATGGACACTGAGAATCAATCAAATATATATTTTTATCAGTCTATTTCTTTTGTGAAGTACTTCAGTGAAAGCCTAAATCAGAAGGTACAACAAATGATAGGTGATGTTTCAATCTAGGCCCTGGATGTACTGAACCCTGCCTCTCGGCTAAAGTCAGCTGGGATAGGATCCAGCACACTGGCTAACACCAATAAAGATAAGTGCTATATAAATGGATCAGGTTAATTTCCATACAACATATGTTCTTCTATTTGAGACAAGTTGTACTATTTTTACAATCTGGATGAGGGCAAAATTTGAGACAATTTGTACTATTTTTACAATCTGGATGAGGGATTTTGCCTATATGATGACCGTAAGTGAAATATTGACAACCCATATAACAATAAATGTATGCTGCACATGCCAGTTACAGTAACTTACATATTTAGGAACGTGACGATGAACCGGTTCTGCCTTGACTCGCGAACCATTTTTTGTGTGATCACATCGCGCCAAATCTGTTTGAATTCCTCTCAGAAAAATGCACTGTGGCTGGTTAAAAATGGGTTTTCCTCGTCTGTTTTTCGATCTATTCCTTAGAGTTGATGATTTGCCTGCAATACTTTGATATTTCTAGTGGGCACGCTGGTTAACTCATTTTTGACACCCCAAAAAGTGTTGAAAGGTAGCTTGCTTTTTTTTTTTTTTTTTTTTTTTAATATCATGTAATTTCGATGTATTTGAGCTGATGTAAATAAAGTTACGACCAATTTGTATCATGCCGAAAAGAATGATTCATTGCCAACATTTTGATCATTCTTAATTTTCCAAGCTGGCGTCTGTATTTTGCACATTTCAGTTGTTACTCTCCAGTTCTTAAAAACTCATAATATTGTTTTTAGTTTGAAACAGGGGGTCGCTTTCTGAAGTCTTCAAAATGTCATAACTTCCTAAATTCCTAACACATTGACTAAATTTAAACAGCGTTTGCTTATCATTTTCAAGGTTTTTTTTCAAGGGACATTGGTCTTACTGAGAAAAATGGCTTTTTTTTTTTTGGGTCATGATACAGTTCGACGTAAAACGTTAAATTTGTCATCTTTTTTGGATCCATATCTAGCCTATTTTGCGAACATTCGACGACGTGACTACATGTTCCACAATACATTGCGCAACTATTTGCTGTTGCACATCAATTGATTCCGGTTGTCTTCAATGTCACACGAGGATGGTTCCGGGGTTATTTTTGATATTTTTCCTGAGGTGCCCGACAAGTCGTGTAACAAGTCATAAACACGCTTCTTTAGTGTCGTTTTCATACCGCTGTTATAAGGTAATGAAGTTTGTTGTGTCTACTACTTTAATATATGGTCGATTTGCTGAAGGGTCTAGCTTTCCTGTTTAGTGCTTACATTTCTGTACGTGTTGAGTTTTACTCGCATCATATTGGAGATGTGTACCTACACGCAGGTGTTAAGATAGCAAGCTACGAAAATACTAGCCAGGTAATTTATGGTTATTATAACGCGATATGCTTAAATTGCATCACATTGTGTTACCCCATCCCGTGTATGTACATTTCACTCAGACCTGAATGAAGGAGATTTAAAAAATATTTTTCTGGTTCCGTTATTACTGTAACAATGTAAGGGCAAAATACCCGTGACTACGCCAATGCACATATTTTATTTTGGAAAAATCTCAACCTTTATTGGAAAAAAATCTAAAAACTCTGGCATGAATAGTGGAACAAAGGTGCATTTTCTCTAGTTTGTACATTTGGGGAACCAATTCAGTGACGATTTTTGATATGCTCAATGTGATGCAGATGAGATTGCCATGCAGAGTTCCACCACTTCACATGACATCTTCGAGGAGGACATCCACAGCCCCCGCTGGGATGTTTGTCCCAGAGTGTGGCTCCATAGACAAACGGTGTCTGCAGCTGCTCCAGGACTTTGTCTCGCAGGCCACACGGCTGTTTGTCATCAGCGGCGCTGGCCTCTCCACAGAATCGGGCATCCCAGATTACCGCTCAGAAGGCGTGGGCCTGTACGCCCGCACTGACAGACGTCCCATACAGCATGTCGAGTTTGTCCGTAGTGCCAAGTCCCGTCAGCGTTACTGGGCGCGGAACTTCCTGGGGTGGCCGCAGTTCTCATCGCATCATCCTAACGACGCTCACAGGATTCTGAAGCATTGGGAAGAGCGAGGAAAGCTGTACTGGTTGGTCACCCAGAATGTGGATGCTCTCCATTCAAAGGCAAGACAGAAAAGACTCACTGAGCTTCATGGATGTGCCCACAGGTGACCAAACATCTCAGTGACAACTGCTTGTTTCTGAAGTGTTGTAATAGATTTACGTGACAGGTTTGCGTTCATCTATCTGTTGCTTGAAGGGTTACAACATCACAACTCATTTACGGTTGTTTTGCAATGTTTGCTAGCATTAAGTAAGCGTTCAACCCTAAGGTAAAGTTGCATGGTTGTTTTAACTCCACAAGGCGAAATTCTCTTTGTTTAATGTTTAGTTTGACAGTAAATTTAAACTGGGAGTGGTATTAAACAGCTTGAAAGAAATTTCAACAAAATTAATTAAACTCAATGTGAACATGTGTTTCTACCCTTAGGGTAGTGTGTTTAGGCTGTGGCAGCATCTCGGCGAGGGAGGAGCTCCAGAGACGTTTCATTGAGCTCAACCCAGACTGGAGGGCTCAGCACGGGGCTGTGGCTCCAGACGGTGACGTCTTCCTGGAAGACGAGCTGGCTCTCCATTTCAGGGTTCCGTCCTGTGCGGTCTGTGGAGGAATACTGAAGCCTGAGGTTACCTTCTTTGGCGACACGGTGAACAAAGACACAGTGCAGTTTGTGCACAACAAATTAGCCGAGTCGGACGCGGTGCTCGTCCTCGGGTCGTCGCTGCAGGTGAGTGTCACTTAAATCCAGACAAAATACTTTTTCTCTGGCGATTACACTGCTTGGAGATGCTCTTGTAGCCTTTAAGTCTATAATTTTCTTTCTAATCTCCTGAGACAACTCTCTCCTTCCACTGGTCCACATTTAGCAGCGTCCACTCCATGTCACCAAGTAGCACAGTGACTACTTGTCACTCTTCAAATAAGCAGACTGATTTATTACAAGTTTTAAAACACTTGGGATGCAAATTGGAGGGCACATTTTAGTTGAACATGTCCCTGTGGTCAAATTATTTTCAGTTTTTTGTAGGGGTTCCAACATTTTGTTCATGAAGTTGTTTTTTAAAATAATTTTGTTAAACAACAATTCAGAAGCAGGCAGTTGATTGTCATTCTTTTTTTGTTGCTATTTTTGACCAATTATTTCTGTGACCATTGTGGGTTTGGGGTTACCAACAATTTTGTCAACATGTCTCCAGGTCTACTCAGGATACAGATTTTTATTGGCAGCCAAGGACAGGAAGATACCAGTTGCCATTGTGAACATTGGGCCTACGAGGGCAGACCATTTGGCACAGCTGAAAGTGAGTGGTCGCTGTGCTGAAGTGCTGTCAATCATTCAACCTCTCTGACCGTAATTCCATGAAACACGGACATAGTCTTCAAAGAGAAAAACTACCTCAACTACGCTACTAGGATCATACGAATGGAACATCACACTTAATCTAATGAGATCCAATTCAAGTGCAATATCCAAAAATCTGTCTTTATTAGGCAATAATCTGTTCAATTTAGAAATACATCGGTTTCTTTTTGTGGCTGTAGCTGTCACACGCTGTACTATGTTGTTACATGAATACCTCTTTGATTCTGTCAATTAAAACTGAGCATTATCATTTTTAAAGGCAGAGTTACTGGTGCAGCTTTTGTTAGGCATTAATAATCTTCTGTTCAGTTTAGAAATACATCCGTTTCTTTTTGTGGCTGTAGCTGTCACACGCTGTACTATGTTGTTACATGAATACCTCTTTGATTCTGTCAATTAAAACTGAGCATTATCATTTTTAAAGGCAGAGTTACTGGTGCAGCTTTTGTTAGGCATCCTGTTAGCAGGTGTGCCTAATATTGTGGCCAGTGAGTATTGACATTTCTGATACTAGATCACATACTAACTGTCCCCCTGTAATAAACTAAGTATCGGTTGCTAACAGCTTTATTTCTAATTGTTAATGTCCATAAATCAATTTAAATAATGTAAATGATTTCACTTTGCATTGTTGAGGTAATAAGCGAAACATGACAATTTGATAACCTGTAAGTCTACACTGCATCTACTGACACAAATTGCAGGTGGACCTCATGAAGAGAACAGCAACTATATGTACGGTTAAGTATAAAATTAGTAATACACTGCCCAAAGTTTGATTCAATTAAAAAAAAAAATTTTTTTTTTTTTTAGATTTTAATTGTCATTGAGATTTAATCACACTGGTGGCACGCGAGCTCCCTCAAGTGGTATGCAAAATAATTTGTTTCAACTTCGGTGGTACTGTAGTGAGAATTGTGGAGTCAACATTTTTGACTGGCAAACCCTTTTGAACGCCAGTAAATAAGAGTTTGTTGACCGTGGATTTAATCCTTAAGAATTTGTTTTCAGGTGTTTTGGTACAATTATTCTTTCACCTGCGTACACTACATTTTAATTGAATCAGTTCATGTTTTCCTATATTTAAGCAGTGTGACTGTTCACACTGTGCATGTTAGAGTGGCTTTCAATAATACTAAGGTAACCTCTTGGGAGTACAGTGGACCCCCACATACTCATGGTTCACTCTTGGGCCTATTATGCCACTAGGGCTGGGCAACATGGTTGAAGTGTATCATGGTATAAGTATTTTACATCAGTTCATATCGATATATATTGAATATTTATATTTTTTTAAGGAAAATTTGACCACAAAGTTTTCTTTGCAAGATTATGTTCTATCAGCCCCACTTGTCTAAATATGGTATTCTGATTAATGTTGCATTTGTGGAATAAGGGTTAAGCAGTAAAATCAATTCCACCTGGGTTCAAATGTTCCTCCTCCACTGTTTTCTGATTATCATGTCCCATTTGTAAATACGGTTGCAAATGTCATGCTGTGTTAATAAACAAGGAGAAAAGGATCTTTTAACAGTTTAATGGAGTCATGAGTATGTGATGTTGGGTCACAAACAGACTGACGGCAGAGTGACTGCAGATTGACAAACAGTGAGCTCCTTTAGAATATTTTGCTGCTGGAATCTCTCTTGAAGGCCAAGCTTCCACTCCACCAGGCTGGACAGAGTCTCATTCTGTAGGACGGCCGGGATGCTGAATGAGTAAAGTTGATGGCTGGAGGCACCTGCAAACCATGTTGCAGATGCCGTGGTCACCGTCAAGGGGGTCATGGCGAGGCAGTTTTCAAAGCTCTCAGTCTGGTCAAACCAGTAGACGGCGGGGTAACCCAGTAACAGTCCGAAGACAGCACTCAGATTCCACTCATCTGAACCCACTGCCACACAAATGACTTTGTCAACATCCTTTGCTGCATTTAAGTCTCGAAGAAGAAATAGGAGATCTTGCGCAATACTCTTCAGGCCTGTTCTGACTGGCTCGATGATGGTTGGTTTCTCCAGTGAGTGGCTGATGTCAATCATTGCCGGGCCGCTATTGTGAAGAATCCTCTCTAGATTGGAGCGAATCGCGACTGGGTTAACAATGAGGGTGTTACCGTGCAAGTCCAAGGTGACAAGGGAGTCTGACACGAGTTGGGACGATTGACACGAGCGCAAATACCGATGAACCTGCTCTGCACTGGCGCTGTTGGCGTCATACAGCAGAGCGGGTTTCAAAGCTGAATCAACAGCCGAGAGCTGAGCAGCCACATCCAGACTGTGAGGGACGGAGAGATGTTTCCTTCCAGTGGACAAACATTTACGAGCAGCATCAACAAAGAGCTCCCGGGTGTGCATAGCTTGACAAATCAAACGCAATTGTTTAAATATGTTACACTTTCTAAACAGTCGAAGTACTTTACAAGCTCGGCAACAAGAGCAGACTTAATGTTCTCACATCTAGACAATGAAAACAAAAAAGTAGAAATATAAAAAGCAATTATGAATTCGGAGATAATACAGTTCAAATTAGGATTTAACAAATGTTATTTTCTTTAAATTGTTTGATTCTTCCTTTGTAGTGCAAGACACCTAAAAACGACAATACGTGATTGCAAAATATCAATATACATAACTGCATTTGGCAAATGTCAAATTAAGCACAAATGGAAGCCCACCATGTCCCCTTCCGCTTTTTTCATCACTCGCCATTGCCATGTATGAGTTACTGGTGCAGCTTTTGTTTGGCATCCTGTCAGCAGGTGTGCCTAATGTTGTGGCCAGTGAGTATCGACATTTCTGATACTAAATCACATGCTAACTGTCCCCCTGTAATCGGAATCCACTAAGTATCGGTTGCTAACAGCTTTATTTCTAATTGTTAATGTCCATAAATCTATTTAAATAATGTCAATTATTTCACTTTGCATTGTTGAGGTCATAAGCGAAACATGACAATTTGATAACCTGTAAGTCTACACTGCATCTACTGACACAAATTGCAGGTGGACCTCATGAAGAGAACAGCAACTATATGTACGGTTAAGTATAAAATTAGTAATACACTGCCCAAAGTTTGAGTGATTCAATTAAAAAAAAATTTTTTTTTTAGATTTTAATTGTCATTGAGATTTAATCACACTGGTGGCACGCGAGCTCCCTCAAGTGGTATGCAAAATAATTTATTGTTTCAACTTCGGTGGTACTGTAGTGAGAATTGTGGAGTCAACATTTTTGACTGGCAAACCCTTTTGAACGCCAGTAAATAAGAGTTTGTTGACCGTGGATTTAATCCTTAAGAATTTGTTTTCAGGTGTTTTGGTACAATTATTCTTTCACCTGCGTACACTACATTTTAATTGAATCAGTTCATGTTTTCCTATATTTAAGCAGTGTGACTGTTCACACTGTGCATGTTAGAGTGGCTTTCAATAATACTAAGGTAACCTCTTGGGAGTACAGTGGACCCCCACATACTCATGGTTCACTCTTGGGCCTATTATGCCACTAGGGCTGGGCAACATGGTTGAAGTGTATCATGGTATAAGTATTTTACATCAGTTCATATCGATATATATTGAATATTTATATTTTTTTAAGGAAAATTTGACCACAAAGTTTTCTTTGCAAGATTATGTTCTATCAGCCCCACTTGTCTAAATATGGTATTCTGATTAATGTTGCATTTGTGGAATAAGGGTTAAGCAGTAAAATCAATTCCACCTGGGTTCAAATGTTCCTCCTCCACTGTTTTCTGATTATCATGTCCCATTTGTAAATACGGTTGCAAATGTCATGCTGTGTTAATAAACAAGGAGAAAAGGATCTTTTAACAGTTTAATGGAGTCATGAGTATGTGATGTTGGGTCACAAACAGACTGACGGCAGAGTGACTGCAGATTGACAAACAGTGAGCTCCTTTAGAATATTTTGCTGCTGGAATCTCTCTTGAAGGCCAAGCTTCCACTCCACCAGGCTGGACAGAGTCTCATTCTGTAGGACGGCCGGGATGCTGAATGAGTAAAGTTGATGGCTGGAGGCACCTGCAAACCATGTTGCAGATGCCGTGGTCACCGTCAAGGGGGTCATGGCGAGGCAGTTTTCAAAGCTCTCAGTCTGGTCAAACCAGTAGACGGCGGGGTAACCCAGTAACAGTCCGAAGACAGCACTCAGATTCCACTCATCTGAACCCACTGCCACACAAATGACTTTGTCAACATCCTTTGCTGCATTTAAGTCTCGAAGAAGAAATAGGAGATCTTGCGCAATACTCTTCAGGCCTGTTCTGACTGGCTCGATGATGGTTGGTTTCTCCAGTGAGTGGCTGATGTCAATCATTGCCGGGCCGCTATTGTGAAGAATCCTCTCTAGATTGGAGCGAATCGCGACTGGGTTAACAATGAGGGTGTTACCGTGCAAGTCCAAGGTGACAAGGGAGTCTGACACGAGTTGGGACGATTGACACGAGCGCAAATACCGATGAACCTGCTCTGCACTGGCGCTGTTGGCGTCATACAGCAGAGCGGGTTTCAAAGCTGAATCAACAGCCGAGAGCTGAGCAGCCACATCCAGACTGTGAGGGACGGAGAGATGTTTCCTTCCAGTGGACAAACATTTACGAGCAGCATCAACAAAGAGCTCCCGGGTGTGCATAGCTTGACAAATCAAACGCAATTGTTTAAATATGTTACACTTTCTAAACAGTCGAAGTACTTTACAAGCTCGGCAACAAGAGCAGACTTAATGTTCTCACATCTAGACAATGAAAACAAAAAAGTAGAAATATAAAAAGCAATTATGAATTCGGAGATAATACAGTTCAAATTAGGATTTAACAAATGTTATTTTCTTTAAATTGTTTGATTCTTCCTTTGTAGTGCAAGACACCTAAAAACGACAATACGTGATTGCAAAATATCAATATACATAACTGCATTTGGCAAATGTCAAATTAAGCACAAATGGAAGCCCACCATGTCCAGACTGTGACAGGGTTATGTGACAGGTTGAGGGGCCATCAAGTCAAACTCTGAGAGATTTCTTGCAACCCAAACACCAGCTGCAAACAACCCCAGGTTGACCAGCAGATTCCTGAAAATCAAAATTCAAAAATCTTTTACAGAAGCTTTATTATTTTTAGCCTGTGTCAAAATTGGTGATCATCTATGACGACGACTCACAGTGACATGCAGAAGATTAACTGCGTTTCTACTAGACAAAAATCTCGAACATATCCGATACTGTAATTTTAATTTTAACATTGCAAACTGGTGGTTACCATCATAGTTTTTATATGACATAACATGTTTTTATTTATCCAATGGAAGACCCTCTGGCAAGGACAAACCTCTGCTGACGAGATGGTAATGCTAGCAAAAAAATGCTACCAGACACATGGTTATTATAAAACCGCTTCGCACTACTTTGACTCACCTCCTGAAATCATTTCTGTCTGTCGCAAATTTACACGCCGAACTAATCCAATCTGTCACACTTGACGAGCCGGACGAACTCTTTTTGCCCCCTACTCCGCTCATGATGCTGAATAACCACCCTGCGGTGAGACTAGCTTAGCGACAATGCAGAACGCACCGGAAGTACACGTTCACGAGCTCACTACGGCGAGCGACTTGGCTCCAAAAGGTTTCTTATTCACGTCGTTATTCAATCGAGCTTACGCGTGACGATGTCTGCCACTCGCTACCGTCGCTTCCTAAAGCTGTGCGAGGAATGGCCACGCGACGAGAGCAAGAAAGGTCGAGATTTAGGAACGTTTCTGCGGCAGCGAGTAGCAGCTGCTTTCCGCGAGGGGGAAAACACTCAGGTGGGGAAAACACCGGTGACACGGCTCCGCCGCTACATACCCCGACGCT